CTGCACATGGTTGGGTCCTTCGTCAGGCTAATGTATGATATTAGCATTACTACTATTACCGCTACTACTACTACTACTACTACTACTACTACTACTACTACTACTACTACTACTACTACTACTACTACTACTACTACCACTACCAATCGTACCCCTTAGAGTCATGCTACTAATGCTAGTGCTAGTAATTTGTTGTTAACAATAGAAATACCCATCGTGCTGCTACTACATATACGAACCGTTTCATTAGTAACATGCATAACATATCTGAACAATGCGAATAACAGCATGCAGCTCACTACTAATGCGCATCGTATCCACGCGACTAACCATAATACCGTTTAGACGATTCAGAATGATAATGCGACGAAGCATCATCACTTAAGACTAGTACTAACCATGCGAATAAACGTAGTAATAGTAATGCTGATAGTAGTACGAATGATGCACAGTAGCAACACGACTAATACTCGCACTAGTAGCGCAATGGCGAACACTGTTAATACTGATACGATTCATAGTAGTAGTCTATGCATCCCAGTCATATTATATACAATGCTACCAATACTACGGATCAGAAGACGGGTGCTGCACGACCGACGCTTACTACTACTCATCAAGCCAATCATGCTAACAACCACGATGGCACTGCTACTCGCAATACACATGGTAAATATAGTACGAGTGGCAATGCCATTGCTAATAATACTACTGGCTATGGTGATAGCAATCATTTGAATGATAGTTTTTTCCCAACCGTCCTGTGGTGTTGGGTCCTCGTTTTGAAGAGACGGTGCCCCGCGCTCCTCCTTCTTTCCTTCCTTCCTTCCCGCCCTCCTCTCCCTCCTCCCTCCTCCCCCTCCTTGCCTCTGCTCTCGGCACACCTCTCACACGTTTCGCATCCCCATAGGGAGCTCCACCGAAGGCCCCAGTGTGGGTGGGCGCATGCGGTTCCCCCACCCAGGGCAGCGTTTCTTGGCCCCACAGGGAGCTCCACCGAAGGCCCCAGTGGGGGTGGGCGCATGCGGTTCCCACCACCCAGGGCAGCGTTTCGTGGCCCCATAGGGAGCTCCACCGAAGGCCCCAGTGGGGGTGGGCGCATGCGTATCCCTCACGCAGGGCAGCGTTTCGTGGCCCCATAGGGAGCTCCACCGAAGGCCCCAGTGGGGGTGGGCGCATGCGGTTCCCCCACCCAGGGCGTCGCTTCGTGGCCCCAGATGGAGCTCCACCGAAGGCTCCAGTGGGGGCAGGCGCATGCGGTTCCCCCACCCAGGGCAGCGTTTCGTGGCCCAACAGGGAGCTCCACCGAAGGCCCCAGTGGGGGTGTTTGCATGCGTCTCCCTCGCCCAGGACAGCGCTTCGTGGTCCCATAGGGAGCTCCACCGAAGGCCTCAATCGGGGTGTTCGCATGCGTCTCTCCCACCCAGGACAGCGTTTCGTGGCCCCATAGGGGGCTCCACCGAAGGCGCCCGAGGCGCAGCTCGCATGCGTCTCCCCCACCCATGACAGCGCCTCGTGGCCCCATAAGGAGCTCTGGCGAAGGTCCCAATGGCGCAGTTCGCATGCGTCTCCCTCGCCCAGGGCAGCGTTTCGTGCCCCCATAGGGAGCTACACCGAAGGCCCCAGTGGCGGTGTCCACATGCGTCCGCGCCACCAATTTCGGCGCACCCCTCACAAATTTCGTGGCCCCATAGGAGCTCCACCGAAACCGGTACCCACAATGCGGTACTCGCAACTGCACATGGTTGGGTCGTTCGTCAGGCTAATTTTATTCCAACGCTGTGAACACATATAAGCTTTATAGTTATGACGTTACCGTCAATACCACCATTAATACTATTCATTATAGTGACAAAAGCAGCCAGCGTTGACCCCACGTAGATATAGACGATTCAAATCAGGAATCCGAGGAGTCAAGCATGCTTGGACGCCGAAACTCAGCAAGCACGCGCGCGTGCAAGCAAGCGCGCAAGCGCGCAAGCAAGCAAGCCCGCAAACAAGCAATCACGCAAGCAAGCGTGCACGTGCGCACGCAAGCAAGCAAGCACGCAATCAATCAAGCAAGCAAGCAGGCATAGGCATAGGCGTCGGCACAAGAGTTAGGGGATAGACATAGGCACAGGCAGAACCATAGGAATTTTAAGGGGTGGGCATGGGAATTAGGGGCGGGTGGGGACAACGGACCAATTAGTAGAGTACGCCTATTTGGATACTAGTAAGAGCCACACATGCGATACCAATACTGCGAATACGAATGCTGTTGCTAATAACAGTGACAGCTAACAGTAACAGTAGTAGTAGTAGTAGTAGTAGTAGTAGTAGTAGTAGTAGTAGTCGTAGTAGTAGTAGTAGTAGTAGTAGTAGTAGTAGTAGTAGTAGTAGTAGTAATAGTAGTAGTAGTCGTAATAGTAGTAGTCGTAGTAGTCGTAGTAGTAGTAGTAGTAGTAGTTGTAGTAGTAGTAGTAGTAGTAGTAGTCGTAGTAGTAGTAGTTGTAGTAGT